GTGAATGCCCGACATACTGAACCAGCGCTTGAAAGGCCCGATGAAAATGACTCGGGGACTGACCCCACAATCATGAAAATGCTCGAAGAACTAACCAAAAAAATCGAGTCCGGAGAAAAGAAAATTGAAGAAAATGACAAAAATGTGGAGACATACAATTCAAGGGTCGACCAGATACCAGGAGCACCTCCGATTTTGAAAGGACTGGACTCGAAAAAATTCATACAAAAACCTTTCCCCCCAAGTGCGGCTCCAATGCCCATTCCCAAGAAGTTTCGCATGCCCGATATACCAAAATATAACGGAACAACTGACCCTAACGAACATATTACTTCATACACTTGTGGAATCAAAGGAAATGACTTGAATGATGATGAAATCGAGTCAGTATTATTGAAAAAGTTTGGGGAAACACTATCAAAAGGAGCGATGATCTGATATCACAACTTAGCTCCTAACTCTATTGATTCATTTGCTATGTTGGCGGATGCCTTCGTGATAGCACATGTCGGGGCCATAAAGGTGGCCACAAGAAAATCAGACGTCTTCAAAATAAAACAAAGGGATGACGAGATGCTAAGGGAGTTTGTGTCCCAGTTTCAGATGGAAAGAATGGATCCGATGACTGGGTAGTTCAGGCCTTTATGCAAGGTTTGAATGAAAAAAACTCGATTGCATCTCGACAACTAAAGCAGAACTTGATCGAATATCCAGCTGTGACATGGTCGGATGTGCTCAATCGTTATCAGTCAAAAATTAGGGTCGAGGACGACCAGTTGGGAGCCACCTCGGGCTCAGTTCATCCTAAGAAATTCGCAGCCAGGCCCCCGAGGGACACAAACCGGGGATCAAGATTCAACAAAGAACGGCATCAACCGTACGTCGAAGATCGAAGGAACATTTCAAGGCGTAACATACTTCGGAATGATCGAAGAGCAGATCGAGGCCAAAGTTCCCGGGGACTTTCACCGGTCGACGGACTTCAAAGCACCGACATTTCTTCTTTCACGGGCTACTAATAGGTAGTCGTCATCTTCTTCTTCTTCCTGATCTCGAAGGCGTTGGACTTTCTGGAGATAAGACCGCCGTATCAACCTTGAACCTTCGAGCCGCGCTCTTATTAGGACTCGAGGGATTGGCAGGCGATTCTCTTTTCCTCATTTTTTATTTAGGAGACTTCGAAACTTCTTCTTCATCATCCGGGGCCGGCCGCAAATCAACGGTGTCTCTAAGGCCTACATGAAACCGAGGTAAGTATCCCATGGCAGAAATACAAGAAAACAAACAAGAGAACTCACCATGGTTTTTGGCCTCCCATCGACCCTTGGCCAGATCTCGCCAACAACGCTCCGAATAAGAGGCAGAGGCCAGCTTTCGGACCCAGCCCTTGAGGTCCGAGACCCCACCAGGAAACCAAGTAGTGGATACACCATCGTAAATGGGTTAGACCAATGAAAAATATAAAGCCGAGGAAAAGAAAAGAAAGCAGGGAATAAGCTTGCTACGTACTCATATTTCATGTTCCACTCCTCGGGGAATAACATCCAATCAGCAAGAATCAGTTCGGAGGTCCTGACTCGGACGAATCGGCTCATCCATCCACGGTCTTTGTCCTCATCGATACTAGAGAAAAGAGATTTTAAGGATCGGCATTGCAATTTTATCAAACCCCCACGATAAAGTCGGGGACTATACAGTCTGATCAGATGATCGAGGGTAAAAGACATCCCCTCAACTTGGCTAAAAAAGAACCTGATTAAGTAAACGATTCTCCAGAAGGAGGGGTAGATCTGGCCAAGCGTCACTCGGTATCATTGGCAAAAGTCAAGAATAATTGGATCTATGGGACCTTGAGCGGGAATTGTAGGACCCAACGTAAATGGGTAGGTATATACGCTCAGGTACCCCGCTTTATATGTAGTGATGTCCTCCTCGGAGGAAGGAATCACTATTTCTTTATCATCCCACTTGCAATCCTCGTTTACTTGCCCGAGCTCGGCCTTGGTCACCAAATAAACATATCGAGACATGGGCTCGCATCGGCCTGGTGTCGATGCAAGTTTCTCGATTTTGAAATCAGATGTTATTTCACATGGCGGGGGAGATGCACTGCTCAATACGAGGGGGCAATACCGGTTTACTCTTGGTCGGTCGAGAAGATGAAGAAGCTTTTTCTTTTTGGGAAACCGATTTAGAGGTTTTAGCCATCGCAATGCGGAGGACCCAAGAAAATGAAGAGTGTTAATAGTGAAGAGAAGGGAGAGTTCAAGGAAGTTTAAAAAGGCTAATGAGACTTTGAGAACAATATGAGAATAAAGTTTTTAAGGTTATGAAATTTGTCTATTTATAGAGGTCATTTAAGCGTGCTGGGGAAGCCAAAAATTCGATCGTCAGCCGCCTCCAATTAATGATTTTGGGAATCGCACAAAAGGCAACTTTTCAGTCGCTTCAACCGCTGATGTCACGATATTGGCATCAGAACCAAGGCATCAAAGATTAATTCGTCGAAAATCATAAAGGGAAGCCTATAAGTCGAATTCGAGCAGAGTATCCATTCGATTACTAAGCCCAAGGGCTATCCGAGTTTGAGGAGTTTCTCGCTCTAGAACTTTTAAAAGGCCTAATGGCTATCCTTATTACAAGTTAGAGAGAATGCCCGCTCGATTGCAAAGCCCAGGGCTACCCGGGTTGGAGAAATTTCTCACTTAGGGACTACAAAAAGATCTAAGGATTAACTTCATTTCGAGATCTCGCTCTCGCCTAACTCGGGCTCGGGATTCACGAGGTTCCGAGTTCACATTTAAGCTCAACTCGAGGATTAACGAGAACCTCGAGGGGTATTATATTGATCAATTAAAAACTTAGGGGTTTATTATGTCCTGAGCTCGATATTTGGGCTAGCCATTGAAACCATATAATCGAGTCTTTTACGAATAAAGATAGAACAAAATTCAACATGGACCGAAAGTTATACAAGGATCCTTTTACACTTCTAAGAAATGTTTACAAAGTATAGCTACGGCACTCACGAAGGATACTTACATAGGAACAAAGAAGCAAAAAACAAAAGCCGAAGAACCTAATCCACTTTTAAGACCACGTCCTCGAAAGCATCGTCTTCAGAAATCCTCTTCTCAGGGGCACCATTTCAGATCTTTGGAAACGTTTATATAGGGCACAAGGCCCTCGATAGATGTAATTATATCTCCAACAGCCGAGATTGAGCATTCTGTTGAAGTTTTGGGCCACAATACATTAAGAAAGAACAAGCAAAAGGAAAAAACCAAAAGGGGTTGCAAGATGCACGAGCAACAATCCAAGAGTGTTCATCCTCAGAACTCTGTTCCGGTGTGGGATGCAAAAGTTAGTAGATAATAGTGCCACCTCATTCCATGGAAAGCAAAATGAATGAAGCGCCACACCAGGTTGAAGTTAAGAGAGATGAGCATCAGCGTAAAGTTTGCATATCTTCTGATACGGGAGGGATTCGGTGCCTTTCTCTCGTTGTCTCGAGCCGAAGCTTTGAAAAAGGAAGCCTTGGTGTAACTGGTAAAGTCGCTGCCATGTGACCTTGTGGCCACATATTTGAACCATGGAAATAGGTGATTAGAGGAAGATATAGAGAAGGGAAAGGACTAAAAGTAGATGAAGAATGAATAAGTGTAGTTTTTGTTCAGCCAAGTAACCTCTTATTTATAGAAAGCCGACGACGGGACCAGCGGCGCAAGTGGCCGACAAAGGCTGAAACGTATTTGACGTTTTGGGGAAGCACACTGACATGACATTTCTGATCACTTCAAGTGCCTACATCACGGGTATGACGTCATCACGAGTGGTTCGGGAAAATCGAGGTTCAAATCATTTCTTATCATCTTATTCTAATAAACGCGGGGACTATCTGTATAAGGTAGAAATCGAAGAGCTCGATTTCTAAAAACTCCAAGAAAGAGCGGGAGTTTCTCAAGGACACGTGGGTCAGGACATAAATTATAGGATAAGATTTGTACGAAATAGTGCAAGTCCGTACTAGGTTGTTATACATCTGTACCAATAGAATTCTTTACCATAATTGGAAATGTACCATATTAGGGTTTTCCCCTCCTATATAAAGGGGACCCTAATCATTTGTAAGATATATCTCATTCTCTGCAATAGAACATTCTACTCTGCTTTTCTTGTTTACCGTACTCAACAATTGTTCTTCAGCTTTATCGTTTTTACTTTATTATTCTTAGCTAACCTCGAGGCCCCTGAGATAATTGAGCTCGAGGTCCTTATCGCTCTAACAACACCGGTTTGGTTCATCAATTCTTCTTACTTAAACTTAATATTATTTGTACATTCACTAGTATTGAAATAAATCACATATATTTAAAATCACAAATCATATCTAATTGTTACTCACATTTTTCGAGGTAAACAATGATAAACACACACAAGAGACACCCATTATGTCCAAAAAATACCCATTATAATTTTTGGACAATATAATGGCCATATGAATAAGACTTTTGGTTACGGCCGACTCCTTTGGATTTTATTATCATTAAAAAAGAAGAAGATTTATTTATTATATATACATGATACATCAATAGGAAAGTCTTCAACAAAGGTCAAAGTATAAGATAATCACATGAGAAAGGAAGAATGAGGTAAAGAAGGTTGGGGGTGGGATGGGACAGCTGTCAAAAAATAGATGGAAAATTGGTTTTACAGACTTTAAAATTACATTTCGGGTAAGTCACATGATACTAAAATTCAACCAAAAGGAGTACCAGTCTCATCATCTGTATCCTCAATAATGCTAGAATTATTACATTATAATGAGCACCAAGTGGACTGTCTGACCATATACCGTTCACTTTGTAATTTTCTTGTTAAAATAACTGTATACTTTAATCTAAGAGTAAACAAAAAAAAAAAAAAAAAAAAAAAATCCATAGAAAAGTCATATCAACATTGGCATTGAAGATTAATTCCATTGTTGAATGAAATAAAAACCTCCCAACGCCCAAAGGAAAAACAGCACCCCCTTCTCCTCTACCCTTTCCTCTCTCACTCCCCCCAACCTCAACCAAAGGAACTTCTTTTTTCTTCTCATATATTTTCAATCTGAATTTGTGCGGGCATAGAGAGTAATGATTCATATAGTGGACTCGATCTATTTGCTTGGAATTGAGACGTAACTATTGTTGTCGTAAATATTCAAGCCAAATTATGTGTGTTTGATTCATCTGCAGCAAGTGATCGTCTATAGAAGATCTTGAAAGAAGCAGCGCAGAGGAGTTACTGATCATCGTTTGTATTTAGAAAAACAATCACAAGTTTCTCCCTCCCACCTGTATGAAGTATGGAAAAATAGGAACTCTTTATCATTATGATTTATGTGCTCATCGCGCCTTCTCCTTTTTAATTTCTTTATATGCTTTCAGTTTTAAAAACTTTTGTTTGGTTATATACATGAATTTATTAGATGATCCAATAATCAGGCCTTTATATTCTAAAGAGCCACTAATTAAGTAGCTAGAAGGAAAAGAAAAAAAAAACTACTTAGTTTCCTTGTCCTTATAGACAGATAATCAAGAACAAAATGGACAGCTTCGAATTTTGTCAGCCTTAGCTTCTTTTCTTTTCAAGTGATTTATGACAAGGTCTACATATCAACCTTCTTGAATCCTCTATTATTATTTTTAATCATTATTTTTCAATTTCCATCTAGGAACAAATAGTTTGGTTTTTCTTCTTTCCCCTTCTCCCTTCTTCTTTCTTTTGAAGAAATTTTTCTTTACTTGTTATCTTGGACTAAGTAGGATATTGTTAAGACCATTTTCCCAGGAATATTTCTTTTTATTTTCAGACTACTTGATGCAAGAGATACATGGTCTTATAAAGATGTCGTTAGGGTCTTCCAAAATTTTCAGTATCCATTATTTTATGGAGTATTATATATGGTTATACTTCTCTCCGTACCTAATCAAGTTTTTTTTTTCTTTCTATTTTTTCTTGGCGTTCTAAAGAAAAATGAAGTACACACTACACAGTTAAAGTTTCGTACTAGTAGAGGATATAAAACAAGAATAAATGTTGCAGGATTTTAAATAAAGAGAAATTCTCCAATTTTTGTTAACCCCATCTTTATATATACCTGCCAGCTTCAACAGTCTTTATTTGACTATTAACATTTCTTTAAGTCAATATCTACTTACATTTATATTGGAGTAGGAAAATGATAAACCACGCACTAAGAATTACCATTAAATTCCAACAGACTTGTGCCGGTTACAATTAGTTTCTCCCATCTGGCTTCTGCAAACTTCCCGACTAGCAGCTGATACTGTCAGAAATGTTTTTGCGTACCATTAATGGCAGGAGAATACAATGTTAATACTGCAGGCAGAACAACAGACTGTAACTAAGTACATGGTAAAACTGAATTTGTGTTAGGGTTTGCCCTGATTATCTAATTGAAATTGCTCTTTCATATTTGACTAATTCTTTTCTTGGAAGAATTTTTTTTGAACTTTTATTAATTGAGGATATTTCCTGCATACAACATAACAATAGCATCTATAATCTGGTCACTATGAAAATCTTGTTTAGGAGGAGAATTTATTCTCTCGATAAGCTTTTTTTAATATGTATTAGTTTTCTCATATGTAGGTCTATTGACCAAATCATATTAGAATAGTATACATCTTTTATTATATATTTTTTTGTATTCTGATTTATCGTCATTCAAAGTTTGTCTGTTGGCTTCCGCATGACGCCTTGTTATTTTGATCCCAACAATATAATATATATGTTGATTCCAAAGTTGTAATATGTAGAACTACTGTGGCATCTTATACATAAGTTACCATTAGAGGGTTAGAACAAGATCAAGAAAAAGCTTTACAAGGTAGCTACTAGCTAGTTATTTTTATACGCGTTTTGTGCCCTCATCAGACTAATGGATTTGGGCACACAAGTTGAGAGACTCAATGGCTCACGGGATTCTGCATGGTAGCCCAATTCAATTATCTATTTTACCATGAATGATCTCTTTAATTCTATTCTCTTGGAGTCTAATTTTATTGAATTATTTATTCATACACAACCCAGGCTTGTTTCTTTCACTGAAGACCTCTTTGCCTAACTGGTTCAGTAAGTTAGAGGTAGCCATGACAGAAAATTCAGTGAAACAAACCAATGAAGAGATGATGAAAAATACTATGGAATACATTATGGAAAAAACGTCTTCAGATTCTTCCTCCCAAAGCAAAATGGTCTCATTCATTGATCTGAACGAAGACAACAAAGGGGAAAGTGATGAAGAAGAAGAAGTCATTGAGATTAGTGTGGAAAACAGTAGTGAGAAAACAACAGATGAAGGAAACTCAGAAAATAATAACAATAGCTCCGGCAATGGAGGTGTTGAAAAGAAAAATGTTAGGCATTATGTTCGATCAAAAATGCCAAGGCTCCGTTGGACTCCTGAACTCCATCGCTCCTTTGTTCATGCCATTGAAAGGCTAGGTGGTCAAGAAAGTAAGTCTCTACCTAATGCTTGTTGAAGATGAAGTTCCATTCACATTTACTCAACGTGTATTTTCTTGAGTTTAACTTCAACACAATAACAATGTAAAAGTACTATTCTTACACTATATTTTACACTGTAAAATAATTACATGTAATAATAACTAATTAATAGTGAGAGTTATATATAATCTTGAATATCATGATTACTACATAATTAAATAAATAACTGAGTGTTCTCTTTAACGATATAAGGCTTTAGATAATACGATCACACAATCCATTTATAAAGCAAGTTATCTACTTCAATTTATTAAAAAATACAGTAGTGGAAAAGTTATTTATTGTACCTATGTGTATAAGTTACCTCCTTATTTTGTGAAGGGCTTATAAGAGTCAAGGAATTATTGAATTAGATGCTTTCCTTTGTTAACTAGCTATAAAAATAATGGAGATATTGTCGCAAGTATGTTTAAAAATTGACCGATGTGTATCTTCCCCCCTACAGATGTCAAACTTTATACTAAACTGGTAAAAGAAAAATGACAAAAAATATATATACTATCCGTTTTAATGACATTTCTTTAGGTGACCTCGTTTGTTTCTTAGTTTATGTATATTGTTATAACAAAAATTATTGTTGCCACATTTGTTGTTTATGATATTGTAAAATAAGATTCTTCCTAGTTTCCCGCGGAAATCTTTTTTTTTTCTTTTAATGTTTAAGGTCAACTTTGGGTTAGCAGGAGCCACACCAAAGTTGGTTCTCCAGTTGATGAACGTGAGAGGTCTCAGTATTGCCCATGTAAAAAGTCATTTACAGGTATCGTCAGTTGAAAATACTTATATTCTTCATGTTTTTTTTTTCTCAATAAAGAGAAACTCATTACTTATTTGATCCAGATGTATCGAAGCAAGAAACTTGATGAATCTGGACAAGGTACATTTATCATCAAATTGGAAACTTCTTCTTATCCTTCCAACCAAGTATACATGTTTATTTTACCTCCTTAAATTACCAGTTAATTGTCCTTATCCACAATTAACATGTAATTTTAATTTAGGCGGACAAAATGCTCTTAACCCATTTTCCTCATGTGCAATATATACTATGAATCTTGATAGTGCTTCATTTTGGTATAGTGTTAGGTCGTAATTATAGAGCAATGCAAGGAAGAAGCTATTTCTATGGAAACGTTGGCCAAAGATATAACCCTCTACAAGATTTCAAGATGAAGAATGGTGCTATTGTGTTAGCAAGGAATTTTAACTATGATCATGACCATGTTAAAGGCCATGTTCGAAATTCCTTTTCGAGACCCCCATATCAGGCCAAAGACATCTTTTCCAGGTACAATTTCACTTAGTCAATGATAATCTTCTATTCTTAATAATTTATGATTTAACATGTGTACACTGACAGCATAAACGATTTTCTACAAGTAATGCTCTGCATTGTTTCCTAGGTTACTAATCCCACTTTTTTTTTGAATATTACCTACAGTTATCTTCTAATAACGACATGATACAGTAACAAAAAACCTATATTTTAAACAAATGTACAGGTACTTGCAGTGGTCTTCCAATCAGGGAAGCTTACTTAACACCACTCGAGAAAAGCTATGTACACCAAGACAATTTCAGAAAAATGGAGGCCATGAAATTGGCCCCATTAGGTCAAGCCAATTTCTTGAAGAGAAAAGGTGGCCTCCGAGTGAATTCATTGCCAATCAGTTGCAGGAGAAAATTGCTGATTTTTCCAATATTTGTTCAGCTAAAAACTCCCAATATTTGCTTCAACAAAATGTAACACAACCATATTCCAAATGGAATTGCAGATACAATACCCTTGAGCAAAATTTTGAAACACCAAAAAGGCTTGAGGTAAATATATACAAGCACATATATAGCTCCTCATATGGAGTATTATTTATTGGGATTTCATCTTTCCTTGTTTCCTTGTTGTTGCATGACTTCATTGGTAATTTGACTTTGCAGATGAAAGAAGACAAAAGTTTCCTGGGAAAAGATTGGTTACCTGATTTGCAACTAAGATTAAGCAGAAGCACAGAAAACAAGAATGAGAAGAATACTCATCATAACAAGAGGATGGATCATCAGTCAGAAATGAACACAATGCTTTCTCTTTCTCTGCCTACTTATTCATTAAGTGAAACCTACGAGAAAGTAGAGTTTTAAACCATACAATAGTTTTATATTAGCTTGTTACTTTAATATGTTCAGACATAGAAGAGCCGCCTATGTACGTAGGGGGGTGAGTACTTGAGATCTGACCATGCAATTAGCATATCAGGAAATTAATGCATTGGAGTGAGATCTCCTAAGTACTTGCCTTATTGGCCGTAAACATACACTTTGAGTTGCCACTTATCCCTCTTATTGTTATTTTTCTTTGTTTAACAAAGCCAATTTTTAGTTTTTTCTCCGAGTATACTGCAACTATATTTAGGATAGATCAGTGGTACAACTATTTAAAGATTACCTTGCTATTTGTATTTAGTCTTAGTTGGATATTCCCTTAATTTCTTAGGAAATAAGACAAATTGTTGCTTTTGTTCTGGACCCCTCCAGAACAAATCATGTGAATTTCTTTAGCAGCATGTCATTAAGACAAAATGAGAATATAAAGGTAAAAAGTTTTTAAATATCGGAAGTGGTAATTTTTTTGATGTAACAAATAATAGTGTTTGTAACGATATGGCACTTGCGCCTAACTCAACCCCAAAAGCTACCTCATAAGGGGAGGATTGCCCAAGCCCATATAAGGAGACCACCGACTCATTCCCCAACCGATGTGGGACTCTAACCTACTCTAACACCCCTTGCACGCCCAAACCACTACTGGAGCGTGGACAATATATCATAGGAGCCCAAAAGGGAACATACCTTGGTTCGATACCATGTTAAAATGTGGCACTTGGGTCTAAGTCAACCACAAAAGTTAGCTCATAACGGGAGGATTGTCCAAGTCCATAGAAGGAGACCACCAACCCATTTCCTAACCAATGTGTGACTCTAGCCCACTCTAGCAGTGTCAAAAATTAGGATATAGGCAGTACTTTCTCCTATTAATTAAGTCTTATAATTTTGAGTTTCTTGACTTGCTATTTGAAAAAAGAAGTAATACACCATCTTGTAGCAAACTGACAAGCCGGTAATAATGGTTAAAATAGCACGGGCTAGTCAGTTTTCGGACTGGCCATTCAAAAATAGCCAGCATTTGTCAAGTCATTGAGAAATAGCCACTATTTGCTGCAACAGAGACCGGTCCAGCATAATATACTGGAGTTCGGTGCACCTGTGTATGAACTTCCAGCATATTATGCTGGACCGGTATACTTTGCTGGAACTCCTCCAGTATATTATACTGGAATTCCAATATATTATGCTGGAGTATGATAGGTTTAAGTTTAAGTTTCAATGATGACAATATTATCTTATGTTATATTTTCAGGACAAACAAAAAGGAAAGAATGGAGATGCTCAGCAAGATTGCTACTGGATTTAAAATAGCAAGTAAGGAAAGAATGAAGATGCTGTTACTACATTAATGGGCAATCAAAAGAAGCAGATTGACTCGTCCTCAATCAAGGGAACTCAGATTGCCAATCATGGATTCTCTAATTAAGAAGATCGCGCTCATGAATTAAGCTACTCCAGGGGTAAATGACTCCTTAAATCAGTGTGACAAGGAAGTTCACAATCGAATCTGGGCTCTTCAAAGATCAAGATTCGAAGAGGTACCCCTTGGGTCAAATCCCTTAATCAAAGATCTTGTGCCTCTGATTTCGCTGAAGACTCAACGGCTCTCTTCTCTCCTATAAGAAGGCTGATCTTTCAAGAAGAAGATTGCACAACTACATACATTATATTATAAGTCTATCTACTTCTTAGTTCAAACACTGTAATCCTTAGTTATCAGTGTCTCAAAAGATAGGGAGATCTAGAACACAAAAGAGAGTTATGTCAACTATTCTGAACTCAAGTGTTGATACTGTTCGTTGGTGGTGAACGCGTTAAAACCATCTGTATTGTAGCTTATTCAAAGATCTTAAGGGAACCCTTGTGACCCAAGGGAAACTGGATGTAAGTACCACAACGGTACCGGACTAGTATAAATCGCTGTGTGTTATTTACCTTTATTTACTACTTACTTTTATTCTGTGTTGTGGTCAGTCAACTAATACTTGTGTTAGTTGACTAACTTTTAAATAGTCAACAATTACCCCCCCCCCCCCCCCCCCGCTTGTACCTTCAATTGGTATCAGAGCAAGGCTCACATTCTTTTCTTAACCGCTAGTGAGAAAAAGTTCATGGGATCCAATACTGTGTTCGGTGCTCTCTTTTAAGAAGGAACCTCTCAAGTTCGACCCCCTTACTTCAATGGCCAACATTTCTCTCACTGAAAAGTTCGCATGGAAACGTATACTATGTCATATGACATCAAGATATAGCGTGTGATAAAAAAGGGAAACCTTCCAATTCCTCCAAAGAAGGATGCAAATGGTCAAGTCATCACATCCACTGATCCTCTGGATTTGGATGACTACACTGATAAACAAGCTGTTGTTATCACTGTTAATGCAAAAGCAAAAAATCAACTGTACAATGCTATCAGTGGAGAAGAACATAAAAAGATATCTAGTTGTGAGACTGCAAAAGAAATGTGGGATAAAATGAAAGTCACTTACGAAGGAACCAACAAACTGAAAGAGACTAGAATAAACCTCTTGGTTCGGGACTATGAGTTATTTCAAATGAAGGATGGTGAATCTATAGGAGAAATGTTTTCCAGGTTTAGAAAAATTCTTGGAGATCTCAAATCATTTGGAAGACCTATTAAAAGTGGCGAACAAGTTAGAAAGATCCTCAAATGCTTGCCTAGAATTTGGCAACCAAAGGTCATTGCTTTGGAATGTCAAGATCTGGACAAAATTTCCTATGATGAGCTCAGAGGTGATCTGATTGCTTTTCATAAAACTCATCTTGACAGACAAATTCAAGAGAAGAAAAAAATATGGCTTTCAAAGCAACTGTGGCTGAACCAGAAAATGAAGATGAAGAAGAAGGAGGAGAACAAGATGAAAATATTTCAATGCTCTCTCAAGTCGCGACCAGCATGATGAGAAGAAACAGAAATAAGAAAAGAGGTAAGTCCAACTTCACGAAAGGAAGGGTGAGCAATGAAGCTGATAAAAATAATGGAAGATGTTATGAATGTGGAAAGTTCGGTCATATTCAAGCTGAATGTCCGGATTTAAAGAAGAAGCTTAGCAGAAACATGCAAAAGAAGAATGTTTTTGGAGCATGGAGTGATGAGGAAGAATCTGATCACGAGGAAATTTCTAACGTATGCTTCATGGCTCAAAGTGATAATGAAGAATCAGGGGAACTTGGGCTAATGGCTGACAGCAACGATGAGGAAGACGACTCAAGAGAACCTCGTTTACCGTCGGATGCAGGAACTAGTGAGGTACGTACTCCTTTATGCCCTAACTATTATGATCTTCAAGAATTCGTTGATATTGCCCTTGCAGATATAGAAAGAGTAGTAAATGAGCTCAGAAAAGTCAAGAGAGAGAAAGAGAGAGAGAAGAAGGACTGGGCCCTAAGACTAGAAGTATGCGAAATTGAACGCAATATACTTCAAGAGGAAGTAAATGAACTCAAGCTTCAATTGAATGGATTGCAAAGGACCTCAAATCACAGTCCAGTCAAGTCACAGCAGACTGTTCATCCCAAAAAGACAATGGCTTGTTCCTTTTGTGGAAAAATAGCCATAGCATTAATAATTTCAGGAACAAAATTAGAGCTGAAAGTAGTTCTGGTAACTCTAACAACTCATCTTGCTTCTACTGTGCCAAAAGAGGTCATACCTCAAATCATTGCAGGTTCAAAAGCAACAGGAGATGGGTTTGGAGACCAAAATCTTCAAATCAAACTAACACTCAGAAGTCTAACCATTCAGGACCCAAGCAGGCTTGGGTACCTAAAACTGAGTAATCTTGTTTTGCAGGAACACCGCAAGAAGAATAGAAAAGGAAAACGGTATCTCGACAGCGCGTGTTCTAGACATATGATTGGTGACAAACAATTGTTCAAATCATTCACCAAGCTAGATGGAGGAACAGTTACATTTGGTGACAAATCCAAAGGAAATGTTATTGGTGTTGGAAAAGTTCCTTTAAGCTCAACGTATGATGCAGATGAAGTCTACTTAGTTGATGAACTTGGATATAATCTTCTCAGCATCAGTCAACTGTGTGACAATGAATATGAGGTTCGTTTTAGGAAACATGGCTGGTTTATAGAAGACGAATCAGGTAATATCATTCTCTCAGGAAATAGGGACAGTAATGTCTATACTATCAAAAACTTAGAAAACTTTGGGGATCAAATTTGCCTTACTTCTATATTGAAGATCCCTGGGTTTGGCATAGAAAACTTGGCCATGCAAGCATGCATACCATTCAAAAACTTTCCAAACATGATCTTGTTATTGGTCTCCCAAAACTAGATTTTTCAAAGGATCATATCTGTGATGCATGTCAACTAGGAAAACAAACTCGATCCTCTTCAAAGTCAAAAACATTGTTTCTACCTCTAAACCTCTTCAATTGCTGCATATGGATCTATTTGGTCCTACTAGAACTGGCAATATAGGAGGTAAGAAATATGCTTTTGTTATTGTAGATGATTTCTCTAGATTTACATGGGTTATGTTTCTTAGTCATAAAGATGATGCTCTAAAGAATTTGGAAGTTTTCTGTAAGAAGGTTCAACGAGAAAAGGGGTACTACATCTCCACCATCAGAAGTGAACATGGAGGATAATTTGAAAGCAGAGCTTTTAAAAATTTCTACAATGATCAAGGAAACACTCATAATTTCTCATCACCAAGATCTCCTCAACAAAATGGAATATTAGAGCGTAAAAATAGAACCTTGCAGGATATGGCAAGAACCATGATCGTGGAAAACTCTCTACCTCATCATTTCTGAGCAGAAGCTGTGAGTACAACATGTCATATCATTAACAGATGTCTTATTCGACCTATTCTCAAAAAGACTCCCTATGAACTGTGGAATGGTAAGAAACCAAACATCAGCTATTTTCACCCTTTCGGATGCAGATGCTTCATTCATAACAATGGAAAGGATAATCTGGGTAAGTTTGATCCAAAGAGTGATGAAGGTATATTTCTTGGTTACTCTCCCTCAAGTAGAGGTTACAGAGTTTACAATAAGAGAACCTTATGTATTGAAGAATCTATTCATGTTGTTTTTGTTGATACTAACCCTCGCCCAAGGAATGAACATATTCCTGAAGATGAGGAAATCTCTTGTGCTCCAAAGTCTGTTATTGTAGGTAAGGATCATCAAAATGAGTCAGCTGATCTACAAGCTCAACCAACTGAA